AAATGAAACAACCTCCCAAGAACAAAATTTTTTGCTTGTACCAATCCCACAGTGTACGGACATCAATCAATGTCTTAATGATATAAAAAACGAAAATAAAGAAAATGTACATCGATATGGTAATCAACACACACAAAGAATGCAAAAAAGCAATGAATTTGGAAATAAAAAAAGTATATAAAAACAATACTTGGAAAATTGTTGATAATCCTAAAAATAAGAAAATTATTGATGTTAAATGGATTAAAAAAAAAACGATGGCACACATAAAGCTAGGTTAGTAGTTAGGGGCTTTCAACAAAAAGAACATATTGAAAATGTTTATTCTCCAGTAGGCAAAATGCAAACTTTAAAAACCTTACTATATTATAGCTGCGCTAACAATTTATATATCGAACAAATGGATGTAGAAACAGCATTTTTAAATGGCCAGGTAAAAACTGAAGTATACGTTCATATGCCAGAAGGTTATGAAACAAGTATAAATAAAGTTTATAAGTTAAAAAAAGGTCTTAATGGTCACAGAAAAAGTTCAAGAGCCTGGTGCGATTGTTTCAACGAGTTCCTAAACAGTTTAAATTTTGTAAGAAGTTTTTATGACTATTGTTTACATACACATAACACAAACAATGATCCAATATACAATACATGTTAGTTTTTTTAGACGTTTTTTTGGTTTTTTGCAAGGATCTAACCAAAATTAAAGAAATTAAAATCAGTTTAATGAAAAGATTCTCAATGAAAGATATGGGTAAAATCAGTAGTTACATTGGTATAGATATAGATTATAATTATGAAAGAAATAAATGAGTTTAAGTCAAACGAAATATATAGAATCGTTGGTTAAAAAATACCAACATGAAAACCTTAGATTAGAACAAGTGAAGGAACCAAATAATAAAATAAAATACAGAAATTTAATAGGTGGACTATTATATATCAGTACAGGAACTAGACCAGACATAACTTACAGCGTAAATTATCTTAGTCGATTCCAAAACTGTTATAATGAGACTCATTTTAAGTACGCATTAAGAATATAAAAATATTTGTAAAAAACAAAAGATTTAAAATTAACCTATACTGATAATTTGAAAGATGAGGTTCTAGATTGTATGGTGGATTCTGACTTTGCAGGAGATAGTATAGATAGAAAATTCACTACAGGTTTTGTAATAAGATTATATGGAAACTCAATTTTCTAGAAAACACATAAATAAAATTCAGTCGTTAAATGTTCAACTTTTGCCGAATACACTGCAATGTCAAAAGCCGTTACAGAAATTTACTAATCGAATCTTTCAAAATAAATGTAAAAGAACCTATAAAAATATGTGAAGGTAACATAGATGCAATCGCGATAGGAAAATTTGGAAACTTTACACATTGAAGTGCAGTATCATTACATAAATGAAAATTATGAGAAAGGCTTAATCGATATTGTTAAAGTAGATTCAAATAAAAATTTGGACTTACTAAAAGTTTAAGTAAAATAAAATTCTTGAATAATAGACAAGCGCTAAAATTAATGTAAAATAAATGACATAATCAAACAAAAGATCTTATTACAATTAAGACAAAACACGAAATACATAACAAAATCTGAAATACAAAATGTCCAAGATTATTAATTTAAGAAGGCGTGTTGAATACTGTAAATTAAATTTTGTAATCTAGTCATTATAATTTAATATATATAATCTGTGTGGCAACTCTACCACTTATTAAATTATAATAAAATTGTTTAAGCAAAGAGTTTTCATTTTTAAAAAACAAAATAATTAAAAATATTTGAAGTTGTTTTTATTTAAACTTGTATGTTTTATTATTTTTATTTTTGTTTATATAGAAGTAAAGAAGGACTAAATTTTGGTGTAACAGAACATTTCATTCTCTTGCAACTTGCCAGTATCAAAGGCGGGGAAATACCTTCAGGTGTTGGCAGAACTTCATATAAAAAAATGTTGCATAAGAATTCAACATTTATTATTCGACGAAATCGTGACTGGATAACAATCGAATTTGGTATCTTATATTGAAGGTCATGTACTCACTTAGTTATTTGTGAGTAATTCGTATACATAGGTATATCGTATAAGACTAATCGGAGGTTTGAAAATTATATATTAGGTATATGGGGTCTAAAGGATGTATTGACCCGGTTTTATCAATTTTTGGCAATATCATATACTATACATATACATGTCACATACTAATAATATGCTCCTTGAGTTTCAGTAAGATACACTTAACATAAACAATATATATGGAGTAAAGTCAGGTAGATGTTCGAAAATCGTGATATTACAATAGTTATATGGGGACTAGGCCAAGTTTTCACCCGATTTTAGCCATTTTAGGTACAAAGATACATTGTTATTAGTAAAATACGCTCTCTCATTTTCTCTAAGATGGCCCACATATGGGCCGATATATGCGGCATAAAGTAAATCAGAAGTTGGAAAATTTTTGTAATGGGTATATGGGTGTTAAGAGAATCCTTCATTCGATTCAATCTATTTTTGACATAAATGCATACTTTTATCAGAAAAGGATTTGCTCCAAATTTCAATTACATCATATCTCACAGATTGACCGATATTTTTAATAAAATGTTCGCTGCAAGAACTGGGGTCCACAGATTCGGTGTCTGTGGGCTTGAACAGTTGTAGTCCGACTCGGATAATTTTTGGTCATAAACAGGCACACACTAAAGTGCAATGTTCTATCCTAATACAATAATTGGTGCTTAATTTGTATACTGGAAATTGAAAGAATCAAATGGAATCTCAAAATTGTGTTATATAAGAAGTATTCGGACTGAAACTATTCAAGCCCCTAGAACTATTTTTCGAAAAGTCAATCTATGAAAAATTCTGAGAGAACTCTGTTTTAATAATAGTATGCCTTATGTCAAAATGGGTTGAATCGGATCAATGAATCCCCTAGCCTCCATATACCTAGAACAAGATCAAACTTCAGGCTGACTTTATACTGCATATATCGGCAAACATGAATTATCTTCATAAAATTGAGTGAGCATTTTTTTCTAATAACGGGACATTTCTGCCTAAAAAGGATAAAATCGGGGGAAAACTTCCTCTAGACTCCATATAACTTATATCAAAATTTTCAAACAACCGGTTAACTTTATTCTTTATGCATTGGTGATGGTATGTGATGTACCTTAATGAAACTGAGAGAGCGTCTTTTAGTGACATGTAGTAATGACAAAAATATATAAAAGCGGGTCAATATTACCACTATCTCCTATATACCTAATATAAGATTTTCAAACTTCCGGCATTTCTTTATACCATACTGGTCAATATTGTAATGGATTTCTTGATAAATCGTCTATCTATAACTCACTCTTGAATTCGATCCCTGGACTGGACTAGAACTGTGTTTGCTGCACAGTTTGGCAGCCCTTATATAGTAGAACTTTAACAAAACTTCTCTTCTAGAACATTCTGGCAACTACGAGTTTGCTGGCCAGTTGCTTCTTGCAATTTATCGTCGATTCGATTTTGTTCTATCAACCGTGTTCGTCACAATATGTAAGATATCTTAGCAAAATTAACTGAACGTATAATATTGGATATGCTATAATTTTAAACCGACAATATGTGAAATTGGTTCACGAATTACAGAAACCCCATTATACTACATTTAATGCTTTTCGTTATTCTAACAAACCTTATGTCGAATAGCTCAAACAGTGTATGAGGTATAGATTTATAAAATTGTTTGAAAATATGCTCTCGAGTATACCTGAGTAATGTCAAAAGTTTGTGCAATCAGTTAAGACCATTTCTGTGCTCAATATACCCTATATATGTACATTTTCATTAAAATCTATTATTATATATTATATGTATATGTCTTTATAGCCAGATAAATAGTGCACAGCTAATTTCACCAAGTTTTCATGTCGCAAAATTCATATCAACGCTCTAGTTACCATTTGTTATAAGCTCACTTACTAATATACAAATTAAATAACAAAAATTAAGATTTTATCAATGAAAAAGAAAGAGCTGGGCTTACTAATTATTTTGTCGCACGCAATTAGCTTAAGTGAGCCCCCTAGCAGGCTGTAAGGTGCTTACAAGTTGTAAAAGAGCAGCATGGTTATATATATTCATATATATAGTATGTGTATTTATGATTTCATATCCGCAAGCACTTGACTAAACTTGTGTAGTAGCGCCACAAATTACTTGTTACAAATGTTCTAAATTACTTAAAATGTGACCACAAATGGTACAAAATGCACATAATCAGGTAAAAATACAAACGAAAATAAGTGTGCAGTTGCCAAATGATAAACACGCACATGTTAAATGGAACTTTTAACATAAATATATATTTTGTCATATATTTAAGAGCTACAGTTCTCGAAATACAACTTATTTAGCGAGACAATATACTTTAAGACTTTTCTGATAGGTACTTATGAAATGTTTATAATATTTGGCAATTAACATCAAGTAAAACTGATGTTAAAGGTAAATCTAAAAATAAGTACCTGACTAGTTCAAAATTTTCCTACAAGGTATGTTTCCGCATAGGAACTAAGTATATATGTATATTTATTTTGTATTAAATTTTTCAATCAAAAGCAACCAAAACTTGTTCATACGTCCAAATATAGAGAAATAACACGTATATCGAGAAATTGGTATGCTCGTTGCACCTCGTTTGTTGTCATTACGTGCAACATGCAGCATTTTGCTACTGCTAATACTGGCAAACAGAGCAGAACAACGAGTAAATTTTGTTGTGCGGGTGTGGTATATATTTATGGATAAATAATTGAAAAAATATATTAAAAATATGCATTAACCTACTAAAAATTGTTAGGCTGCATATAATATAAGAATTTTATTATATATATTTTTTTTTTTAAATATCAGGTATTCATTTCAAACACTTGCATCCTTACTAAATTTATGATTTAATATTTTATTTTTAATTTCTATTCTTTTTCCATCCAGCAAGCCCGCAATCCCGATTACTACGACATTTCACCGCGCCCTTTCGGTTCCCCCGGTTCAACGGGCCTCAGCACCGCAGCCAGTGGGTTCACACGCTCCAAGGCGATACGTCCGGTCGGCGGCGGTTTTGTGCCTTCACAACAAAGTCCTGTACGCGCAAATGTGCCACACCAGCAAACACAATTTTTGGCACACTTCAACGAGCCGGTGAGTGAAATTTCAAATATCAGGCTGAACAAAAAAATATAAAATAGTAAGTCCATAAATCATCAATAATTAGGGAATGTCAATCGTTAATTATTAGCACTCACTTTAGGCTGAATATGGTTTACATGATAAAGGCTTTAACGATCAACTTAGTTCAGAGGCTTAAACCTAGATATATTTTGCAATTAGGTAAGCCAAGGGCTTTTTCTATCTTCATTAGTTTATAGTATTAGATTTAAAGATCGAATTTAGTAAAAACAAGTAAGGAAGGGCTAAGTTCGGATGTAACCGAACATTTTATACTCTCGCAAAGTCAAATGGTATACTTGTTTGAGATTTCTTTGTGGATTGACTGATATTTTCGGTAGAAGGTCAACTATAGGCACTGGGGTCCACATATTTAGTACTTAGGGGCTTGAACAGTTTTGGTTCGATTTAGACAATTTTTGGTCACAAGGTGGCATACTTTAAACGTATTATTCACGCAAAGTTTTACCCCGATATAATCATTGTTGCTTGATATGCATAGTGGAAAGTGAAAGAATCAGATGGAATTGAAAATGGTGTTATATGGGAAATAGGCGTGGTTGTAGCCCAAATTCACCGATTTTCGCACTATAACATAGAAATATGAAAAGAACGTTATGCACCGAATTTGGTTTAAATCGGTTAAGCAGATCCCAAGATATGGGTTTTTACCTAAAAGTGTGCTGTGCCACGCCCACTGTCTAATTTTGAACGCGATTCCTATCAAGTCATCTCATACCATCCCAGAGATAAAATTTAATGTTTCTGGCCTGATTTATCGCGCTCTTAGTAGTTTATGGGGAGTGGGCGGATTTGCCACCCGATTTCAACTATTTTCACACCGTCTATAGAAGTGCTAAAAACATTTGCTTCCAGTGAATTTTGTTATTATAGTATTAGCGGTTTAGGAGATATGCACTTTAAACCTATTAGAGGCGGGACCACGCCCACTTAAAAAAATTTAACTGCAGATGCCCCTCCCTAATGTGATTCTATGTACCAAATAACAGTCTTGTATCTTATTGCGGAACTTAGTTATGGTAATTTATTTGTTTTTGATTAATTGCGTTTTGTGGGCGTGGCAGTGGTCCGATTACGCCCATCTGCAATACCAACCGTCTCACGGTACCGAGAAACATGTCTACCAAGTTTCATAAAGATATCTCAATTTTTACTCAAGTTACAGCTTGCACGGACGGACAGACGGACGGACGGACAGATAGTCACCCGGATTTCAACTCGTCTCTTCATCCTGATCATTTATATATACATATATAACCCTATATCTAACTCGATTAGTTTTAGGTGATACAAACAACCGTTAGGTGAACAAAACTATTATTCTCTGTAGCAACAGGTTGCGAGAGTATAAAAATATTAAAAATAATAGTGATATTTTCACATTTCAGGGATGTTTTCCGTTTTTAGGTGGTCCTAGGAACGATTGATATTAGAGAATAGTAGTTTGCTTCAGCTTTTACCAGACCTTTTTTAAAAGACACCGAGAGGTCGCCTCCACTAAAAACTTCTATTCACGGCATCTCGGTGGTTGATGGGTAGTAGGAATGTCAAATAAAATTGAATCGTTACTCTCTCCCCTCAATTTGCCAATTAGGGTACTGACGTGTTTCAATAAATGCTGTATATTTAAATATTTTTACTAATTAAACTAACAAGAGCAACTACAATTACAATAACTTGCAAAATCAGTTTTTTTTACCATAAATGTTTGTACGTGAAAATCGCAAATCGTGGATCAACTCATTATAACATCTCGATGAATTAAGGCCAAGCCCAATTTTGCTGCCGCGGCGCGGTACGTCAAAGACAAGAAACACAGGAAATTAGTTGATTGAGAGGTGCAATGCTTACTCAGCAGAAAATAAAGTATTTCAATAAGCGCCACAGCTTGCATTCAGGGCAAACAGATAAAGTGGAGAGGTAATCAGGTACTAAAAGTAATAGTTTCATGGCTAGGCGAAACGGACTTGGGAGCAATTTTTTAAACTTACCTATGCACATACGAGTATATATATTGTGTGTAGCGATAAGCCAAGAGCCAGCGCGCTTATGCGGATCCGTCAACGACAATATCACGCTCGTAGAATTACATAACGCTGGCGATATTATTAAAACCAGCTACAAATTCATACCTATATATATATACATACACAAATAACATGTATGTGTGTAAGTTAATTTAACTTGTAGCGCCACTAAGTGAACTATTACTCCACATTGATTACGGATTGCCGACTTGCATCAAATTGAACATAAGAGAATAGTGAATATATACCGAGAGTATATGGTATATACATACATACTTATAAACCAATATTGGTTAAACTTATACCGCACCCCACTGCTAAACCTGTAACAATACAACTGTAGGTTGTGTACAAATCATGAAGACTACGTTTGAAAACTTTAAATGTAGCATTTCTATCGAAAGTTTCAAGAGTTGTGATGCTGCTATAAAAACCCCGATCTAGATATTTGATCATTTCCTCGCTGATAGTTTCACTTTTATTATATTATAATTTCAAGACAATAAGCCGAACTTAAACATCGGGATAAAAAATCCTGATCCTTACCCCGACATATTATAAGTTTCGCTGAGCGCATCATATTTATTATAGAAATTTCACAAAAAGATTTAAAACTTATTAATATCGGAACGGTAAACCAGGTCCCAATTCAGATTTTAATTTCATACTTAAATATGAAAACCTATATGCAAATTTTGGCCTCGAATGCCCATGTTGATTTGAGTCCTAAATTTGCGTATCGGTATCAAACAATGTTGAAAAAATCCTGTACAAATGACTCTGCATACATATTTTAAATAACATATAATTTTCAGGATTTTTTTCTCTCTGACCCTAATTACTTGATGTAATACTTGTAGTAAATGTACGAGTTCAATAAATATCCCAATAGCTATTCCTTCTGTCATCTATCGTAATTTTTTTGATATCGGGATGGACAATTTCAATTAACCTCCAAGAAACAGAAATTATCCCTCTCTCTCTCCGTCAGTTTTTATTATTATACAAGTTGAAATGATTCATCGCCGCTGTCTGGGTCGAGCTAATATTTCGAATAGATATCCTCTGTACAAAAATCTTAAAATTTCTAAAACCATTTAACTTCTTTTACTTTTCAGGCTACCTCCTCGGCTAATCGTCCATCAGCGAATAGCTTATCCGGCTCTTTCCAACGTCCTTTCGGCAGTAGTGGTTTCGTGCCCAGCTCTAATCGCAATCGCCCAGTCGCCGCAGCTTCTAGTGGCGCGAACTACAATACCGATTTATCACCAAATTCAAGCCAGCCCGCATTTTCGCAAACATCCTTCAAAAACACGCGCAATCGCTTCCAACCCAGTAGCGCCAATGCGCCTATTGCGTCAGCTACCACGGAAGCGCCAGTGTCAAGCACGAAACGATACAACCGCTTCGGCGCTAGTCGCTCTCAGAATACACTAAAAGCACAACAACAACCGACCCCTTATAATACGCCTGAAGCCACATCACAGCGTCCCACATTTGGACGCGTTACTGGAAATAAGTCGAGCAGCTTTCAACCTAGACGTCCAGTTTTCATTAGTCGCGAGATTAATGAACCCGTAAATGTAGCTAAAGTGCAGAGACCTTTCTCTGCCGGTCGCGTCAAGTTACCCGCTAAAGAGGGTCTCTTCAAGCAATCCACAGCGACTGCGGTGAAACCGACATCAGCCATTACACCTACCAGTGACAGCGAAGAGTATTACGAGGATGAAAATGGTAGCCCTGCGGATGTGAGCGCCATAAAAGAAACAAATCTGGAAAAGTTGGAACTGCATGAGGCCGAAGAGACAACGGTCTCAGTTATAGCAGCTCCAGATACAACACAATCCACAATCAGCGCTGAAGGCGAAGAGACTACTGCTTTGCCGTTAGATGATGACAAATCAGATGCGACCGTCGAGCAAGTTAATGAAGAAAACACGAGTAATGAATCAAATTATGAATCAGTTGATGTCACCACACGTAGCTCGGAGTATGAGTATGAATATGTGGATGAAGAAGAATCAACTGAGGCCACTGTGAAGGAAATCAAACCAAAACAGTCTTCGACCACTGCAGCGAGTGAGACCACTACTATAATCTCTACCACAGTCGAGGTTTCAGCAATCACTACAGAGCAGCCACAGACAAGCGAAAGCAATCAGGAAGTTGAAGAGTCTACTGAGTTACTCACGACTGCAAATCACCACACAACTACCGCTATGCCTGCAAATCATAAGGTGACTGAATTAGAACAATCAGAAGATAATGAAGATGCGAACTACGAAGGTAGCGCTGATTACGATGAAGACGAGTACGAAGAGGAGGATGAAGAATTTGAGGAAACGGAAGATGTAAGCCAAGAACCAGCAAATGACAGGAATATTATTGATCGCGAGGTCATATCTGTAGTGACTACCAAGAGCGTGGTGAATGGCTCAACTGCCTATCCAACACCGGTCACACAACGTACAACAACACTTTCCAGCGATGAAGAAGCCATCTTTACCGAAAATAAAGTACCACCGACTGAAATGGACAAAGTTAAAGCAGCTAAAGTCGCCGACAATTCCACAACCAATGACGATTCTATGAGTAATACAACCGAGAGTTATGTTGTAATAGCCTCCATACAAACAAGCCGCAGCATAAATGGTGCACGATTCCTACCTTTCCCTGCCATCGAACAAGAGGAAACCAAGCAGACCCTCTCCGAGCTGGAACGCAAAATTCATGCACAAAAGACAGAGTCGAAGAAAAATAATAAAGATATGGAAACAGAAGAAGTCGCAGAAAGCGGTGAGGAAGTAATGGCGAATGTAACGGAGAAGTCTAGCACGAATGTGGCGATCTCTTCCACTGAAAGCATCATTGATAAATTAGATCGTGTGCAATCGGAACTGTCTAGTGGTCTACTCTCTGGTAAATATCCTATTATTACCGAAATGGATGTGTCGACAAAGGCCACCACTACTACCTCAGGTTCTAAATTCGTACCAAATATACGTAAGTTCCAACCAAAGACCACCGCCGCTTCGAAGGTGAAGGTGCACCATTTTGATGAGAGTGAAATGGATGAGTTGGCTGGCTTGCTGCCGGTAGGCTTCAAACCACGTCCCTCGTATAAGAATCGTAAGTTTACTGCTACAACGACCGCAAAACCAGAGGTGGCACCACCGGAAGTGAAGAAACCAACGCGTAATTCCACAATTAGTCGCTCATTTAAAAATAATGCCGTAATTGTACAGGACGTTGCCCTTGCAGGTCTCTTACCCAAAGGATATAAGCCACCAACTACCACAGAAGCCTCCACCAAAGCCGATATCACAGATCTCTTCAGCAAAATTAAGTTCGATGATAGTCTAGAAAAATTGCTGCCAAAGGACTATAAAGAGAAAGCAGCCACGACAACTAAGCCGGCTGTAACGCTTGTAGATGATATCTCTAAGTTCTTACCACCAGGTTACAAATTATCATCCACTACCACAGCACCAACTAAGAAACCCGCTGTTGCCGTACATGACGATATCAGCAAGCTTCTGCCACTTGGTTATAAGCCATCCTCGAAGCACGAAGATGAAACTGATAAATTAGCCGGTGGTATTATACCGTTGAAGGCCAATGACATATCCAAACTCCTACCACCAGGTTATAAACTCAATGAGACAAGTACGAAGGACATGATGCCAGTAAATGCGAGCATTGATATTTCACAGTTATTACCAAAAGACTACAAACCCAGCGCAGCCACAGAGAAATCCATAGAAATGGCCGAAGTAAAAACCATTAAGAATGTCATGATCACATCGAAAGCTGCTTCGACTACTGAAGCAAGCTCCTCCGCGGCAGCTGACGGGATCGACAGCACTACTGCTGCCTCTGGTTTCAAGGTCGTCTTTCCAAAAGGCATACACAAACGAATTGGTGCGCAACGTTTGACCACACCGCGTACTACTGGAGGCGATAGTGCAAAAGAAGCGGGCAACTCACCAGCGGTGGTCATCAAGAAAGGACCACCCACACGTGCAACTACTGAGTTCACGGGGTGGCCAACACCATCCACAACACCCATATCCATCGAGAAATTGTTGGAACAGAGCAGGACAGTGAGTATTAACTTTGAGGATCTCCTTTCATCCAGTAGCACCACTACTACAACAACGACTACCACAACAACAACTACTACAACTCCACGTCCCACGAAACCAGGACACTGCACATCCGATTGTGACCTCGCAGCAACGATAAAGATTATAGATGGACTTGCATGGAAACCGGAACTACTAGATCACAATACAATCGAGTGGAAGAATCTAGCGCATGAAGTGGAGGCAGAGGTAAGTTTTGCGTACATTATTGCTCAAAATTATGTTATTTGATTTGCATTTCACTTGTAGCTGAACGAGGTCTACTCGAAGGCGCCGCAACTGTCTCGCTGGTACAAAAAGGTACGCATTGACAGCTTCAGTCAGGGCAGCGTGCTTGTGGATTACTATGTCGAGCTTGCAAACATTACTGAAGACGTAAACACTTTAGAGATAAAGAAACTCTTCCACGATGCTTTGACTCACCCGCCACCGGAGATGATCTTGGCACACAAACCCGTCACGGAAAACGAAACCGACAATGAGGATGAAAGCTCAAACACCAATGCGCCATATCGAGAAGGGACGGAGGAAAAACTAATCAAGGAGACGTTCTTAATGGGAAAATATGTTATAGATCCATCGGCCACAGACTTTAGTGGTAAGTATGAAACTGAGACCGTTGGAATGTTTATACATGTATGAGTTTTTTTTTTAATATTTCTTTTCAGTTATACCCAAATCTCTTTCACCTATGATTGAATTTGCCGAAGAAGATCAACTGATACCTCAATGGGCGATTGTGATAATTGTAATAGGTGTAGGCTCATTGATCTTCGTCATAATTTTTGGTGTGACTGTGGTGCGTATTTTCATGTGGGTTGTAGTACTGGTTGGTTCTAGTGATATTTTTTTTACTCCTATAGCTACTTAACCGTCAAAAGCGCTCCAAAAAGACACCTATACCACTGACCAACGATATGTTGAATGAGTTGAAGATCAATCATATGGGTGGTGCGGAAAATTATGGCGTCGATGATTTCTATAATATAGATGATGCTTGGAATGACACTAAGCAACCGATTAAGCCAAAGGTAAGTGAAGGCAACACTACTCCGGATTTCTTCGAACTAAGTTTCGAACCGACCAAAATTATATTTTCACCTTCGTCAGTAATTGGAGAATTTACGACTGTATTTCTGGCACAGAAAAGCTTCTCATAATATATACCAATCAAAAGGAGATTGTTGATTGTTTAAAAGAGATAGTTCCAAATATTTTATTAATGTTTCAAGCTAGAAGAAAACATAAACAACGTTCCACTGTTTTCTGATAATGGTTTCATCCTTAACCTGCTTTTCTCTTTATTAACAAGTTCAGTCTCAAATATAGTGAATTTGTTGAATGATAGGACAATAGTATCTTGTTCTTTAGGTATTTAATTTGAATATATATTTTTATTTCTTTTAGTGGAGCAGAATTTTGCTAAAATATAATATAAAGATATTTGGTCAAGATGATCGCGCGAGTATTTTATATTATTACACTTGTATATAATGCATCTGTTAAAATTTGATATTCACTACTTCCATTTTGTACACCCTCCAGCGCTTCACGAACTCTCTGCATGGTAGCAACGGTTCCAATATCTACGACAGTTGGCGTTCCACACGTCATGGCGATTATTTGTACGATTCTCAAACTAATTACTCACAAAAGGGTGACTCTTTGCAACGTGCTCACCATCATAATAATCATCATCAGCATCATCATCACCACCAGCAACAACAACATCAGCAACCCCACCATCAACAACAACATACGATGTCACAGCATCAGCACCCATATCATCAGTATCCTGATGCCTTTGCGGATGCGCATCCAATGTACACGTACAACAACAATAGCGGTAGCAATAGCAATCATGCGAGTCGAGCGTCTCGTTATCAGCGAGACTACGATCCAGACTTTTAAGAGATACAGGCAGAAGTGTTGAGGGGCGAAAAGTTTTAAAAATGAATAGGAGCAGGAAAATGTAGAGTTAATTTTTAAAAATAAATAAAGCAAATTTATTATAGACAGCTCATAAGGTTTAAGCTCAAAAATGTAAACACTATTAGTGAGGTTAGAGAAGGAAATAAAACTTATTACATATCTAGTTTTGCTGTTGTAAAAATACACAAATGTCGCGAAAAAAAAATAAAAATATTAAAACGGAAAATACTCAAATAACAAACGGACTAGGAAGCTGTTACGTATAAAATTCTTATTTTTTATGAAAGTTATAGGAATGATATTTATTAATGTAAAAAAACAGCACTCATTATAAATGTTATGCACTTAAAATATTTTTAATAAAATAAAATATAACAAATTTTTTAAACTTTAAAAAATTAAGAAATCCTAATAATTAGTCTTCCTGCGCGACGTAATTTCCTTCGCTTTAATGCTATTTCTCTTCTAAAAATAAATTTCACGTGCCTTTTGAAAATTTTTGAGTAATTGCTTCTTAGCAAAATTAAGAAGTAAAACATCAAAAATTAAGAAAAATAAAAATATTGTGGAAATTATTATAACAAAAAAATTTAAACTCTCAAACTTCGTCACCTTTCACACACTGTATAAAGTGTTTAAGGCGTCTCGATTTATACTTAATTATACTCGTTTATATGAAAACTGCATTGTAAGCGGTCGACTCGAGCTTAAACAACGAGTTGAAATTAGTCACGACTAGTGTTAGACCACTTTTAGGAAAAATAAATAATATTTTCTAATTTAGTTTTATACGAACAACAAAAAAATAGCAATGAAAAATATTTTTTTTTACAAGTTAAAGCATAAACAAAAATAAGTTAATTTCAGAATAACTAATGAATTGTAATTATAATTATAATATAACTATAACAACAAATATATATACATACATATAAATCAGACTTTTATTTAGTTAGGTTAAATATTAAAATTAAAAAGAAAATGTATTCGGATGGCTTTCTATGAAGATAATTTTATTATTATTAGTACACGAAAAAAATTGTTCGCACTGAAGTTCGCGTAGCTTGAAAATTTGTAACGGTAAATTCAAAATTCAAATTTATGCGGAAAGCTTACTATGGTATATTGTTCACATTATTGTATCCTATTTACAATAATTTTTACACAAATATTGTTGGTATAAAATTTGTCAGCAATGAAAATACACGTTCGCGAATTGGTTGGCAAAAAAACTTGAATGTCCAGGCATGTGTCATACCGATATCGCTAATAACCTAAAATGGCAAAATCGTCAGTGACATTCATACATAAAAGATATAGTGGCTCTTCATATTTGCAAAGAAAGGCCGGTAGTGGTAGAAGACAGGGATTTGAATCTCCGATTATAACGTGCTCCAAAATTATAACTTTACCTAACTTTAACTGCGTTGATATGGACGACGAGCACTACGTAAAAGAGGCGCCAGTTTTACACAGCAAACAAAAAAAGGACAATGTTGCTGGCAACTTTAAAAATAAAAAGCTGGAAGTTAGAAATTCCTTGGCGGCAATTTGCCAGTTCTTGCTTGGCGGCAATTTGCCAGTGCGGCTTTAAAAGCAATGGTTCGCTAAATTGGCTATATGGAAGTATAAATCAAGAAATAGTTAGTAAGAAATAGTTACTTACTGTTTACTTAAGCATTTTTTGCCTTTAATTAAGCTTCACTGGGTCCTTAGTACTCTTTTGGCCTGTGACGTACAAAGGCAATAGAGAGGCAGTTGTTTCTTAAGACGCGAATCATCCGAATTGCCCAGTGCTCAGGCCAATTAACATTTACTGGGCCATTATTAAAGCAAAACTATTAAAGACCCAATAAACTGTAAAAAATTAAAGACAGTTAAAAACAAATTGCGAAAGGTATCCAAAGACTTCTGTAAAGATTCTGTTCAAGCGCTTACGAAGGATGTTAATCCAAAATTGCAGTTATTCACTTATAACAAAATATGGTAAACTGACTATATTTTGTTTTTTTATTTCTATAACTTGTATGAATATTTGTAAAATCGAATAATAAATGTGAGTTTTATAACGTTATTGGTGTGACTAATGTTTTTCGTGCACATGCTTTATTTAATTTAATTTGTTATTTAATTTGATACCATTTGGCATTTTTAGTAATTTAATGTCAAAAGTGCATTTTTTCTTGATAGGTTTGGCACGACAAAATCCCTTAAAAATCTGTCTTACATGTAACCTTTATTAAAATATGAAAAACAAATTTGAGGTTTTAAAGGTGAGGTTGTTTTGGCAAAAGTCTTTGAATATGGATAATAAGTTCTTTACTTGTTTATAGTAATTTAATACGTTGGATTGACAAACGTATAATTTTTTTAAATAAAACTTATTAGATTTATATATTATATTATAAGAATATAATCATAATTGTTATGTATTTGAACGAATCTGACTGTTTTTTATCAATAACTATTTAAATTACACAGTCTAGATACATATGTGCGTATAAATTCTATATTCACCACAGTCCGCAGAATACATTAGATATTGTTAAGAGTGGCAGGACAGGAATTTGACGAATCCATTATAAATCTCACCTGGCAAAAATAAATAAGGGCCGAAATAGCTCAGTTGGGAGAGCGTTAGACTGAAGATCTAAAGGTCCCCGGTTCAATCCCGGGTTTCGGCAACCGAACCTTTTTATTTGTCAAATCAATTGTAATGCATCAAATTAGAAAGCAATTGTTAATGATGCGAAATGTTTACAACCTCTAAGCAGTTAAGATTCGTCACGCCTTTGGTCGTTGAGCTTGTGCTCTTCTGTCCGGTCAAAAAAATGTCCGAACTAAGTTCACCAGTTTACAAGAATAGAAACAAGGTTGGTAAAAGTAGAAATGCTGCTACTTTTTTGGAATGCCTTCGAGAGCAAAATAAATTCGCTTATGTCATTAGGAAAGAAAAAAAGAATTTGCTTACAATTCTATGCAAGTTTGACATATTGGTTTGTTCATAAAATAACGGATCGCTCTAGTGACTCCATCATTCTCATTTATAACTGTAAGATATATAAAATTAAGGCTACCACTCGGTATTTTGTACTAAATTTTGAATAATATAATATTTAAATTACCGAAAAAGGTAAAAAACAAATAAAAAACTAGAAGCTGCCGAAACCCGGGATTGAACCGGGGACCTTTAGATCTTCAGTCTAACGCTCTCCCAACTGAGCTATTTCGGCAATTGTAAGATTTTGTACAGAGAGCTTTTTTGTTTCCCGAGACTGAAAAAATCAGATTGGTGCATGTGCACATGTATTTCTAAAAGTTTGTACACAAACCAACTAAAAACAAGTAAGGAAGGGCTAAGTTTGGATGTAACCGAACATTTTATACTCTCGCAAAGTCAAATGGTATACTCGTTTTAGATTTCTTTGTGGATCTTCCGCCTTGTTCTATGTTGACCGATATTTTCGGTAAAATGTCAGCTATAGCCACTGGGGTCCACATATTCATTACCTAGGGGCTTGAACAGTTTTGACTCGATTAAAACAATTTTTGTTCACAAAGTGGCATACTTTAAACGTATTATTCACGCAAAGTTTTACGCCGATATAATCATTGTTGCTTTTTTTACATACTGGAAAGTGAAAACATCAGGTGGAATTTAAAATGCCGTTATATGGGAAATAGGCGTGGTTGTAATCCGTTTTCGCCCATTTTCGTACTATAATATAGATATATGAGAAGAATAATATGTACCGAATTTAGTTGAAATCGGTTAAACAGAAGCAAAATATGGGTTTTCACCTAAAAGTGGGCGGTGCCACGCCCACTATATAATTTTGAACGTGGTTCCTATAAAGTCATCTCATACCATCCCAGAGATAAAAAGTTAATGTCTCTGGCTTGTTTAGTGCTTGATTTATCGCGCATTTAGTAGTTCTTAACAGTACCGTTATATGGGGAATGGGCGGGGTTGTCACCCATTTTTACACCGTAGATAGAGGTGTTGAAAACATTTGTTCTCAGAGAATTTTGTTATTATAGCTTTAGCAGTTTAGGAGATATGCACATTAAACCTATTAGGTTAATGCGATCCTGTGTGTCAAATACCAGCCTTGTATCTTATTGTGGAGCTTAGTTATGATAATTTATTTGTTTTTGATTAAAGGCGTTTTGTGGAAGTGGCAGTGGTCCGATTACGCCCATCTGCAATACCAACCGTCTTACGGTATCAAGAAACATGTGTACCAAGTTTCATAAAGATATCTCAATTTTTGCTCAACTTACAGCTTGCACAGACGGACGGACGGACGGACAGTCACTCGGATTTCAAATCGTCTCTTCATCCTGATCATTTATATATATATAACCCTATATCTAACTCGATTAGTTTTATGTGATACAAACAACCGTTAGGTGAACAAAACTATTATACTCTGTAGCAACAGGATTCGAGAGTATAAAAAACGTTAATTTCCTGCCAACAGTTTGCATCCAACAAAAAGCATTTTGATAGATCTTTCTAGTCACGTTGTTTGATATACACAACCTTTAAATCAAATTAGGGTTACTTAATAAGGAAAAAAGATCCTTTATGAAAATGTTTATCTTAATTTTGATCGATCAGTTTGTATGGCAGCTATATGCTATATTGTTTCAATCTGAACAATTTGTTCGGGTATTGTAGTGCTGCCTTGGATAATAATCCATCCTAAATTTCATGAAGATAACTTGTCAAATAAAAAACTTGGTGGTCCGATAGAAGAAAAGAGCATGTAAAAAATTTCTGATCGATATTTCAAAAATTCAGGTAATAGTTCGCGTATATGCAGACAGAAGGCAAGCATTCAATTTTATAATATTAATAAGGATTAAATACAAAATATACTTTTTACGAATTGTGAAAAGAAATTTTGGCAGATTATATCTGTTTGTAGAATTAATATGAAAATTGAAAAAAAAATGATTGTGTGTCGAAAAATTTCAAAATGTAACAAAACAAAAATGCACCAAAAGCGTAGACACGACAGACAAAATTGGGGTTTTCTGGTTACCACCTCCCACAAGAAGATGATCAGCTTAACGAGCTAAGTCGATTTAGCCATGCCCGATCAAACTCAAGTCTTTGTATGGAATTTTTTTTTTTAAATTTAAAATTTTTTCATGAAATTTTGCCCAGATTTTATTAAAATTATCGGTACGCTCTCCGAACATATTGTTCAGATTGGATAACTATAGCATATAGCTGCCATTCAAACTGACTGATCAAAATCAAAAAATCACTTTCATGCTATAAAAAATGTACCTGTAAACAGTATTACAGCTTTGGTGCAACCGAAGTTAACGTTTTTTCTTGTTTGTTATTACGAACTACAGCTAAGTTCCGTTGAAGTATCATTAATTTTGTTACCGAAAAACGTGAAGATTTGACAGGTAACTAAGAATATAGAGCAGAATATATTTACGAAAAGTAAATGATCACGAAAGGGTAGGGAAACAATTAAACTGCCGTTAGTTTAGATTTATATTACAATGACGGAAATGTTGAGGCTAAAGCTGATGTATTGCGCATACAAAAAATCCTTCGTGATACTCTAAATTCATTGGAACTTCCTAAGGCTAAGTAAGCTAACTGGGAACATCATACAAAGACTATTGTTGAAGCTGTCGAGAGGTAGCAGAAGAGTAGAATATAGGACATCTTCTATGTGAATGCTAAGCTTTGTATAGGAAACGAATCGCAACTATCGGTCGAGGATTTCTCGACGATGTTTCGAAGGTTTCACAAATAAAACTTTTTGAATTAATGAACTTCATCAGAAGCATATGGTGGTTCAGACATGACATAATAGGGAGAGGGATTTTAGTCCCGGTGGTTTCAAAATGCAGTGGATATGATTTTATAATTGGGCTAACGCAATCTTCGATTTCTGTTGTTGTTAAGAATATTGTATTGATTCCTTATGTCCGCACAAAATCCCACATTGTTGTTTTTTCTATATATTTGTACAAAATAATAGATTAACAAGTAGAGAATTGTATAAAGTCAACTGGAAGTTCGAAAATCTTTATATTAGGTATATGGGGCTAAGAGAAGTTTTGATCCGGTTCAACCCATTTTTGACACGAGGGTATATTATTATCAAAAAAACATTTTCCCCGAATTTCAATTATACAACTCAAAAATTGCCCGTTATTTCCGGCAAAAAGACACCATAAGCTCTGGGGTCTACTTTTCCGATATCTGGGGGCTTGAATAGTTATGGACTGATTTTGACAATTTTTGTACCTGAGATGGCATACCTTAAGGGAAATATTCGCGCAAATTTTTGTCCCGATATATTATTTAGTGCTTGATTTGTATACTGGAAAGTGAAAAAATGAGATGGAATTTAAAGTTTTGTAAATGGAATATAGGCGTGATTTTTATCCGATTTCGGCCATTGCACTGTAACGTGTTAAAATAATTTTATGGATCAATTTGATTGAAATTGGTTTAGTAAGTTCGGAGATATGTGATTTCATATTAATGTGGGCGTTGCCATGCCCATTGTCCAATTTTGATGCCTGGTCCAAAAAGCCCTCTTGTGCCATTTTAGATATGGGCGTGGTTATTATCCAATTTCACCAATTTTCATACTTTCGTAAGAGGTGTCAAAATGGTATGTCCTGTGCAAATTTGGGTGATGAATAGTGTTAGAGATAAATACATTAAACCTATCAGGCAGCGGGTCCACGCCCACGAGCTCGTCCTCACTTTTTCTTCAAGGAACACGTGTACCAAGTTTTATTAAGATATCTTAATTTTGGATGGACTGACGGACAGTTACTCGGACTTCAACTCGTCTCATTATCCTCATCATTTAAATACATATGTACATATATATAAGCCTATATCTAACTCTATTATTTTTAGGTGATAAAAACAACCCTTAGGTGAACAAAACTATTATACTCTGTAGCAACAAGTTGCAAGAGTATAAAAATGGTTTAAATTTATTTTAAAAAGGTTATTTATTTATTCGTTTTCCATTCTCTATTAGTATTTGTCCAAAATAAATGAATATATACAAACATTTGTAAGTATGTAACAGATGGTGATTTTTACACAAACATTTACTCAAAATTATAGATTCTTGTATATGTGCGAAATTGCAAAATTAAGTTTATTTTCAGTTTTTGGCATTTTTGACCATAATTAAACAGAATAAATATATTTTTATAGTGTATTTATAATGCGTTTACAAATTTAAAACTTCAAACTAACCATGCCAAATAGGTTGAAATTGAATTTTAGTTGACAGTTCTTGTCCGCGTTACCAACACAATTTATACTTAAGCGAAAATATGATATTGTAATGGATTACTCGATAAATCGTCTACCTTGTAACTCACTCTGGAGTTTGACCACTGGATTGTTAAATAAAAGTCCCAATTTAATGGCTACACACTTAACTTCATTTCTAATTTCAACAACTTAACACTTATTGCTCGTTATTCGAGCTTACAACTTCTTACTTATGTCTTAATTGCTCTTAGAACTGTGCTTGCTGCATACTCCGACAGCCCTTATACAGTAAATTTTTAACAAAACATTGCTTCTAGAATATTCTGGCAACTACGAATTCGCTGTCTAGTTGCTTCTGGCAATTTATCGTAGGTTCGATTTTGTTCTATCATCCGTGCTCGTCACAATATGTTATATATGTACATAAATCAAATATATAGATGTTAGCTTGTGACGATTAAATAGAACACCCCTACTGTTCTTGTTCTTGGTCCGGTTAATGATTTATCTTGATTTAAGTAACTCGTTCATAGATTATTGAACGATTTTACAAGAAAGTCTTTTGTTTTTGCATAAGCTGAGATGGAATTTTAAAGCTATGGTGAGCATATTACAAATTGTGTGTTTTCAGTTAGTCATAATTTATAATTTCTAAATACACAAGTTAACTAAATCCAACCTTTTGGTATAGAAATCTTTTGGCATATTATAAATATATGCCGAAATAGCTCAGTTGGGAGAGCGTTAGACTGAAGATCTAAAGGTCCCCGGTTCAATCCCGGGTTTCGGCAATCATGAATTTTTTATTTTTGTTTTTTTGAATTTGAAACCACAACATAGTAAAGTCATAAAATTTTAAATATTTCTGTTTTTACGTAACACTTTTGCGAAGGCGATTCACTTTAGTTAGAGCATCTAAATTATTATTATACCTGAACAGGGAATATTAAGTTTGGCACAAAGTTTGTAACAATCAGAAACAAACGCGGAGATTATATAAAATATATAATATAATATAATATAACCCAACGATTACCCTCCTCCCGCCCAACCGCCGCGAGGGGCGCAATCCGCATACGTGCGGAATTGGCCGAGTCAGAAAAGGCAAGAGAGTTTTTTAAGTGTTGAGATCTAAAACTGCTCAGCTACAGAAACAAAAATTTCAACAGCCAAGATTTAAAGTTACAATATAATAAATTGTTACATTTTCATTTATTAAGAGAAAACAATAAAGTCTTTTTAATTTTGAAAAGTGAGTCAGATAAGTCAAATGTGCTGGAATGAGAATTAAAATCATGACATATACGGCGGAATGGCTCGTTTAGTTCAAAAATATCTCTCAGTTTTTGAGATATCGATCGACGATGAAATTTTACACACTCCGTTTTCTCCCCATGACGTTGATTTGTTGCAACCGCCGATATCGGTCCGCTACAGTATATATAGCTGCCAAACTGAACTTCACGAAAACAAATTATTGTCGCTATAATATCCGAATAATTTTTTCAGATCGGATCACTTTATCATATAGCTGCCATACAAAGTGATCAAAATCAATTTTTTACTTGACGAGATATTTTCTTAAAATTTGACATAGAATATGGTCCAAGATAACGCTAAAATCTTCAAAAAAATTTCTTGTATTTAAACTTCTTTATTTGTAAAACTGTATAATAATAATTCGGATTCTAACTCTGGTGCTACCGAAGTTAACGTTTTTTTTCGGCTTAAGGCATATTAAGAGAGCGTCCACTACCCTATCCATGTGAAAGAACTCGATATGGCCCGTTTTAATAGTCGTGTATAGCTAACCGCAACTGGCACAAATTTATACGCGGCCAAGCCCGTCAAGTAGGTAGGATACACAAAAAAAAATGTAAATATAGTTACCATCACAGCAAAACAGCCCAACAATATGCAATATCATAAAGTTAACTTTAGAAAATGACACCTATGAAACCGGAACCGGACACGAATTATGTTGTTGCATCTAAGAAAGTTGTCACTTTCTCCTTTCGAAAATCATAATAAAACACTTTTTTTTATTGAATTCATATTTATAGTACATTTATTGTACCGTAATAATATATTTTTTCGCGCATATAAAATGTATATGTATCAAAATTGCAGTTTTTTTCTAAAACTCTTGTTTCAGAATCTTAATCCATTTCTATGCTATAATTAACGTTTACACTAATAAGTTAATGCATGTAGTTGAGCTGTAATAACTTATATTTAAAAAATAATAAATGATTTGGGAAACATTAAAGTACGTACTTCTTACTGAAATGATAAAAAAATAAGGTTTTCAAAAAAAAAATCACAAGTACAAAAAACCTAAAAATGAATACATACATAAAGAAAGAAAATACAAAAACAATAATAAAAGTGATTTTTTCAATATTTTGATATAAATATTAAATATATTGATGGTTAAAATGCATTTAATAAAAAAATATTTTTCATTTCATAAACATTTTAGCGCCAGTTTCTCATATCATATAAGTAGTACAGTTCAAATATAAATGCATACATATTCTTTTTAAATCAACAATAAAATAAACAAGAACTGTAAATACATTTAAAATTAAGCTGATGTGTATCTCGACTAATTACTGAACGCTTCATTATTATTTATATTTTTTTTTTCCATTAAACATACATTCAAAATCGCACAGAATTTTAATAAATCGATATACAATCCTTAGAACAAAAAACAAAAAAATTAAATGAAAATAATAATTCAAGTCTTCCAAAAACGTGCATACATTTCATGTGGATAACATACCTAAAAAGATTCATACAAAATAAAAAAAAACATCATATTTTCTTCAACAAAACCAGCTTTCCACTCAACGCTTATAGCATGCAATTCGAGTTGAGTTGATATGGCACGAGGTCCTTAGTTATAGCTAGCGGCGCGCCATCACATGCCATCTTATACGCCAGTGCCGCCAAATTGCGGGCGTCATCTTGGCCCGAGTGTTGACGCCCCTCAAATGTGAGGCCGACATGCGATATGGCATCGGCAAAGTTTAACGGCTTATATTTGTACCACGCACGAAAAACGGCACGTAAATCGATCCACTGATTGAAATAGGAAGGTTTCTTCAGCCTTTTACGCTGACACTCTTTTGCCAAACAAATACCGAAATCCCAATCGGTCCAGCTGACAAACGCGCAATTGCCAATCATTTTATCCTTGGACATTTTGGGCAGTTGTAAATTTCGTGCGCGTAACTCTTTGCGCAACCATTCTTGGAACATCATAATGGCCGTTTGCAATGGCATGCCATTATCGACCATTTGCTGTTTGATGCCAGTAAGTTCGGTGCAGTAAGCGCTCAGTTTCGGCGATTCAATTGGCATGACATATTTATGGAATTCGGCTTCAATTTTACCCGTTTGCATATTCATCAAAACTGCAGGAAATTCTATAAAGGAAGATATATTGTCAAAGCAACCCATAAGCAAAATTTTGTATATGTTACCTATTACTTCGGACTCACGCCATTGTGGTGGAGCTTGATCCGCCCAGCAAGTTGCTTCAAAATCGATGCAGATTAGATATTTGTAACGCTGCGTTGATAATTGCGACTTACTTCGCTTAGTTAAGTAACTGGATGCATTGTTTTTGTCAGCCCCGTTCCCTTCATCCACGTATATGGTTTCAAGAAGACCGAGTTGCCTGTAAGAAGAAAATAAAACAAATTTAATTTAAAAACCCCTAGGCAGTTATCTAATTGTATATAAAAGTATGCATACTGTATAAAATTTATTTAAAAAAATTAATAAAATGATTGCGTTGCCTACATTTGTCTACTTTTTGCCGTAGCACACCACCATTGGCTTTTGCCGCAACACAAAACCATTGGTTTCTGTTAACGCTTTTGCAACCATTGCAGCTGCATCGACTTCAGTTAGTCCATGGAATGTCACAAATCCTTGTCCCTTCATGCGTCCCTGTTGCATGACTTTGATTTCCAAGTTATCAGCTGCTACGAAGCGCGCATAGAGCTGTTTTAGATCCTCTTCACTGACATCTTTGGCAAGATTCTTTATATACAATTTATTACTAGGCGCACCTATATGGTAATTCTTATAAATGGGGAGTGCCTCTAATTGTTCTAGTGAAAGACGCGTTGCACTTAGCTCTGATGGCAGCACATAGGTCTCAACAGGTCGCGTTATTTTTTGATGCTGTATTTTTACTGCGATTGTGCTTCTTTTACTAACCGATTTTGACTGCTCAAATACGTTTTGAGGCACATTTTTACTGGCACTGCCAGTAGTCTCACCATGTTTTTGTTTTTGCAGTGCTGTTTGCAATAGCTGGCGTGCTCTTTTTTTATATTGCTTCTCAAGCTCTTCTGCTGCTTTGCGTTTCAGTTGATTTTTTTCTGCTACATGTATTTTTTTTGACTTGACATCATCTTCTTCGGAAGATTCCAATTCGGATTCTGATTTCCCATCAACTATTTTAGTTGCTTCAGATAGTATTTCACAATCATCACTTACAGCCACAGCTGATGGATCCTCGATTGTTTGCGTACCAACATCACGTGGCCATAGCTTGCTTAAACACATACCTGTCGGCTTATCGCCAAATGGTGGCTCCAAATTCATACGGTTCATCAGATGCAGCACTTGTGTGTAAAAACGTGTGTTACTCATTAAAGCAATGCTAATGGCATCTAATATATCTGGTGTAATACGTGGATAGGCATATTTAAGATAAGGCGGTGGCGGTTGTACAAAATTTAATTTTGCATCGCAAGCAAAAAGCTGCGACACGTACTTGCTGATTTGTGGCAATGCAGCCTGATTGCTTGGATGTAACTTGGTCTGCGTCGCTTTGCTGGAGGTCGTTGCTTTCGCAATTTTAGTAGTTGTAACAGGTATCACATTTTTGCGAAAGACGGATACATTCAGTTGTTTACCAGGCTTAATCTCCAACTGCTGCAGCTGCTCCAAAACGGTTTGTGCGGATTGTTCATTTTCGTAAGTGAGCAGCACGCGTCGCCGGCCAAATGGTTTTACTTCTTTCGCTGCCGATGGTAATACCGTTGTTATATCACTTATGGATCTTGGTATATTCTTTACTATAAGTATCGATTTAGAATCACTCATGTTTATTTTTTATCTTATATTGAAAAAGCCGAATTTGCACAAGGCAAAGAAACAAATGTCAAACGAATCAGCTGCATCTCAGGGTTGCATGTGTTAGCTAACGATTAGAGAAAAAGGGTAGTAACAACTTATTAATACCACTCATTTATTTTCTCTTTACTAAGAGAGAAATAAATATTTAAGAGTTGAGTAATAATTTAAAATATAAACAATGTATTTTATTATTATTTATTTTTAAGAAATACACATATCCACACAGATGTTTGCAATACATATACAATAACAAACTTTCAAATGGTACGTAAGCAAGTATAAATAATACACCTGCGTACATATGTCCATATAGAAATGTTTATTTTATTGACATTTTCTGGAAACTATAACTTTATATCTGCCATTGCTTCACGTGTAAAAAAAATATAATTAAAAATTAATTATATTCAGAAGCAAATTAAATTAACTTTAAAAAACACAATCAAGTTTTGTCAGTTAGAACTCACTCTAATATATATTGTACTAGAAATCTAGGATTAGGGTATTATTCTTAACTAAAATTATTAAATTATATTTACATTTACATTACCATTGACGTGACTACCACACGATTGGTGGTGGACTTGAATGTAGAAAGATTTTTCCTAACAACAGTCACCTGTCAACAGACAACAAAAATTTAATTCTTTGAAAATTCGCTCAAGTCCAAAATTTCAACTGGACCTAAGGTGCATGTATCCAATTATAATAATTAATTTAAATAATAAACCTTGAATAATGCGCTCGTATAACAAATCGCATGGCATTAAGTAATGAAATCCAAAAGAAAATAATTAATGTTTAAAGATTATTTTGTAATCTTTATCGTCTTTGAAAGCACACTGTCTGAGCTCTTTGTTTGCTTCTTAGAACTATTTTTCTATAAAGGCTATTGTTGCAATTGCACTTATCTGCCACCATGGCAGCGACTAATTGCCACCAATCCCGCTGCACTTTTTTCATAATTCTCTATTTAAAGAAAAACAAAAAAAAAAATGAATTGCCTACAACGCTGTTTGGAAAAGCATTCTTACAATAACATACACCCAGATGCATATATACATATGGGAATATTGATAGTATATGTATATATATGTATGTATATGGATAGATGTGTACATACGGGATATTGCTTACCAACCTCCTTCATCGCAGCAGCCTTTTGTTGTTATTGATGTATAATTGCGTTGTAACAGCACTTTTGTGTGGTGGGGTAGGTTGGGGGTAATGATATTGACCGAAGATGGTGCGGTACGGCAGACGATGTTGGCGTCTATGAAAATCAGCCATAAATAGCTTAGAGCAAACAACAAAAATAATAACAAAATACACAATAACAAAAACAGCAACAACCAGAACTTTCAGAAAGCTTGCAAGTAACAACAAAAATCAGCAATACTAACAAAAACAACAATCAAGTAACATTTGGGTTGGCTGTCAGGTCATAACCGACATAAACCGCTTTGCGACGGTTTATTTTATGTGCGAGCGTGGAGCTTGAAAAAAAATAAACACCAAGCGGAGGGCTAGCAACATTAGCTGCACCGCAACCAACCCGCCGCCAATCAGTTGCTGCCGCCGCAGCCGTTCAGATTGAACACGTTGTACTTGAGCAGAATTTCAGATTCCAGCGGCTCGCTTACAGCGTCATACAGAGTTATGCATAGATTCTGAATTAAGATTTCAATTAAATGCAAGATTTCCATATTCAACTCGCCGGGCAGTGTAGAGGTGGGAGAGTGAAGCGGCTCAAATTTATGTGTATTATCTTGGAGTGGAGCTTGTTGTGAGATAGTCGCTGGGTTTATGCGTAAATATGCCGATAATAACATATTCAATCCAATGAAACCTACATTCATACATACATATACATGTAACATTTTATAAGAAAAGTTTGTTTTTACATAATGTTCGAACTTCACCATTTTCAACGTAGACCTTTTTTGGGAAAATTAATTACGTTTTTTAAATGAACCTACATACATATATGTATTATCTTTCTCGAACAATTTCAATGAAATCGTCATATGACTTATGTTTTTAGATAGTTTTGTCAACTCGGATCATCTCATGGGTCACATAAGAGTTCCCCTTTAATGTCTTCTCAGGTCTCAGTAGCGATCTCTAAGCCATCATACCGACCTTTTGGGTCTGCATCATTCTAACCGTCACATCATTTGTCTATTTGGTTTCACCCTGGGAATCGATTCTATTCTTAAAAGCACGTTGAGGTCTTCTAGGAGCTTACTTGAACATGGAAGAGTTTATCTTTTTTCTTTAGGTGTACGTCTTGTTGACATTAGAAAATTAGAGTTGCTTAGCAATTCTTGGTCGAACAACTAACGTTTTTTATTAAGAGCATATTTCAAACATACATCTATATCTTACATATGAAAATTTTAAATCCCTGCTCAGATGAAATGTACACAAACTTTAGCGGCCGATTCATGCACAATATATTAATATTATTGGCACAAGACTCGATTTCTACCAGTTGGCCTATATTTTCGATGTATTTTCGGTAATGGTCCGGGAATTCGTAAACATAAGTCTCTTGGTTTAGTTCATCAATTTATAATAGTGTTTATATTGATTTAGTACATCATTTTGTAGTAGATCTACAATCATAATCCAACTTTTTCGATTTCCGGAAGAATAATTGAAACTATTACTTTTTTATAGTCCTGTTATTGTGATTTATAGTTACTCATTAACTAACTAACCGTAAATCTCAAAAGCACATGTCTATTTTGACAGTTGTCAATTTCATGTCAATTGCATAACAAATAAGGTTCTTTATGCACACTTATCTCGTTTCCTTATTCTGACAATGTTTAGTCAAACCTTCATAGGTATTTATCTCTAAATAACAAATACCTTATATTAAACATAAAAGATATGATCTAATTATAAATGCAGTATCTCAAAAGGAGTGCAATAATAAAGTAAAAACATTAACAAAGTTATAACAGACTTGTTTTAATATACAAAAGGAGTTTGTATTTTATATCGCTTTTTCCTTCTCCTATAAACTTATGAAAAGTAGATGTGTACCAGGTGTACCGGTATTAAATAAGCGCTCTTTTGTGAAAATGAAATACTAATTTTGAATGGGAAATTAAAAAAAAAAATTATTCAAAGTATTGACCTTTGCATTTTAATCGTTTTGACCACCTTTTTGGCAATTTTTGGATATCATGCCAATAGAAATGTTCGCCTTTTAAAGCAAATCAGACACCCAATTTTCGACTTCTGCCTAGGAATCGAAGTGCTGCTTAGCCAATGTCCGTCCCATCGATGAAAACGAATGGTAAACGAAAGGGGCCAAGTCTGCTGAATACGGCAGGTGGGGCAGCAATTCTTAGCCAAGTACTTTGATTGTATCCTGACCGATTTTGTTTTGTGTGTAGGTGCATTGTCGTGTAATAAAAATTACCTTGCTGGGACTTCTGGCCCATTCTGGTTGTCTTTCGATCAATGCATGGTTCAAATTGATCATTTGTTGCCTTAATCGATTATATTAAC